TTCGTTCTATAAAACTAAAACTAACTTAAATTAATTCATTCATTTTTTTCATACCAGTTGTTTACCAGAACATCTCTCTATCTCCAATTCTGGAATAGAAAGAAGCAGAAGGTTGTGGCCTTTGAGAGTGGACGCATCAAGTTTTGAACTTTCTCATCATTTTCTCTCTCCTTTTTAACTAAAATTTGCACATGTTGATTAACATTTTCAATAATCTTAATTAGCTTCAAAGGTAAAATTTTTAAGTAACCCTTTTACCACAGATGAACTTACGTTATCTCATTATTCATGCCATTCCAGCGGAAAAAATTATCGAGTCAAGTTTCACTAATTCTGTGTTTGGTGATGGACATTATTCCGACCCCAGAGCAAAAGGCTTCTCTTTAGTCTTTGAAGATTATGAGACATGCCAACTTAGGAGCTTGATGTGATGCTTAAGCATGCTCTATCGCCGGGTAATGCTAATTTTAAGTCAAACCACGTGCCTGACGAATTCTAATCACGCGATTATATATTTCAATTATCAAATATCAATTACTTTGAATAATTACCAATTCAATCAAAGAATTTGAGCATGATAGAGATTTTTAGCGTCTTTTAATCGACATCTTGAGGAAGATGCCAAAACAAAGTGTTGGAATTGCCTTCAGTTATGTTTAATCACCTCTTACTGACCGCTTTCACATTAATAATTAATGATAGAAAGCTCCTTTGGATAAATATTGAATAGTGCTTTATTAATATTATAACCGACGTTGATTGCTATCCTCGAAAATTGAGTATTACTTTAAGGAGGATTACAATTGACCTAGTGGACTGCTGACATCAAATTCACCCACATACAAACCATCTGGGAGATTTTTCTTGGATTGCAAGAATTCCTTTTTCACCGTGTTCATACCCTCTTAATCTTAGAATCACAAGAAGTTCGAGTTTGTGGAATTCCTATTAGACCAATGTGTCCATACCTGAATTGACCTTGAATTGAATAGCAAGTCATGTTCAATGGGCACGAAGCTTTCTTGAGCTTCAGATGACAAATTGATTCTTACTTGGAAAACCTTGGTCCAAGAATTGCTCCCCTTATTTTGGTTGCCCTGAAAGTGTATTTTCAATTGGTAGTATTAAGAAAAAGTTATTTCAGGTAATACTACGCATCTTTTATATAGAAGGTTGGAGATAATGATTTTTTGATGTAGCATTTGAATAGTTTTATGAATTTTTTTTATTAGGGTTTTTCAAAATTTATTAATCCTTTTTTCATGGGTATTATCCCTGAAGTAAACTTGTCAAAAAATTAACAATAAAAAGAAAACATAAAATTTAATTTGTTGAAATCTTGATGCCAATTCCCATCGAATAGCGAAAAAGATGAAACAGCTTACGGAGGCAATGACCTGGAAATCCGGAAAATTGCCTTCCAGCCATCCGATGGTGACGCCCAAACTCGTGATCGGCATTTGAACATTCCGCTAGAGCCTTTATCCTTTCTCTGACCTTGAACCCCTTTCCCATCTCTTTCTCTCTCTCAATCAAACAAAAGTGCCTTGTATTAATTTAATACTTTGGCATATTCTATTATTAATTTTTTAATTAATCAACTAAAACTTTTCGAAGGCCACAGGAGAGGATGAAATCCGTTGGCGGAGATTTTAGAAAAAAAATTTACAACAGCCGTTCCGACGGTCACAGCACCCAGATCTCTGTCTCTCTCTCTCTAAAACCTTCCAGAACACTAGCCCACCATTTTCAATTTCCACAAATCTTATCCCAAGTAACATCCCTTTATATCAACCTACGAATCCACAATTCCTTATCTAAAAAGAAAAGAAAAGGAGATACCATCTCCCTTGGATTGCTTTCTTCTTCTTCATCAACAGATTATCTTTTGACTCTAACATGTGCATGAATTCTCACATGGAACTCCTTCCGGTCTTTCCCAACGACGTGGCTATGGAATGCCTAATTCGGGTTCCTTTGAGAAATTCTCAGTCGTCGCCTCGGTTTGTAAGGATTGGAAGTCTCAGATTCAGCTGCCGGAGTTTCAACAGCACCGGAAAGCCGCTGGGTTGGCACGGTCAGTCATTGTTCTGTCGCAGGCCGGGCCAACCCGGAACGGAACTCTTGCGTCGGGAAGCTTCTGTCTCCTCCCGTTTACCGACTAACGCTTTGCGAACCGAAACGGGTCGCCGTTCTGAACTCCCCCGCCGGCGGAGTTCTCCGACGGGTTGCCAATGTTTTGCCACCTCCTCGTGGTCGGTTCGGAGCTGGTGGTGATGGCGGGTGCGACCCGGTGACTTGGCAAACCTCGAATATGGTGTATGTTTACAACTTCATCGCAGGCGAGTGGCGACGCGGGTCGGACATGCCTGGTCCAAGAAGATCATTTTTCGGCTCTGCGTCAGGTTTCGATCGGACGGTTTACGTCGCCGGTGGCCACGACGACGAGAAGAATGCGTTGAAGTCGGTGATGATGTATGACGTGGCGAAAGACGAGTGGACCCATCTTCCTGACATGTCAAAAGAGCGTGACGAGTGCAAGGCGGTGTTCCACCGCGGCAAGCTCCACGTCATCGGAGGGTACCCTACTTCCTCGCAAGGCCGCTTCAAGAAGGATGCCGAAGCATTTGACCCCAAAACTAAAAGGTGGGATCCTGCACAGGAAGACTTCTTAGATGCTGCCACCTGTCCAAGGACATGTATAGACGGTGGGGATGGGAAGCTCTACATGTGTCGGGAAGGCAGCGTGACGGTGCAGAATGGGGCGACTTGGAAGTCCTAGGTGGATTGCCGGATGAAGTCCGTAACGTCGCTTACGTGACAGCGTGGCAAGGACAGGTGCTGGTGATTGGCTCTGCAATGTTCGGTGAGCCCCACAGGACGTATGTGATGGACTTGAAAAACTGTACCTGGACAAAACTGGAGTCACCGGACGAATACTCGGGACATGTTCAGTCCGGTTGCTGGTTAGAGATTTGAGTTGATATTTACTCAATCGGTAACGTTAATTAATGTACATGACATAATTTCACCTTTTCGGCGAGGCTCAAATAGAATAGATAATTCCAGAGAGTATACTTTTTGTATATAAGTAGATTTTTATGCTTGTAAATCTGTTTCAGGGATCTTAAGTTTATTTTAATTTTAGCTTATGATAAGCGTTTAACTTCAAATTCTTGTACATATGTTATTAGGGCCAATGGATTATGGGCTTTTCTTAAACATTTTATTTTTTTGAGTTTTTTTAATATTTTTAATTTCTAAAAATACCAGATATTTTCATATTTTAATATTATAAATTTATTTTCTTAAATAAAATACAATTTATTCATTAAAAAATGACAACAAAGTTAACATATTTGTTTAATTTATCATTACATATCTTACTCTAGTTTCACCTATAAGCTCCATTTAGGGAGCATTTTTTTGTTTTGGCTGATTTCCATTTTACACGTTAAAAAAGGGGGTTGAATGTAATTCAAAAAATAAAAATTAATATAATTAAATAATTAAAAATGTAATTTTTTATTTTAAATATAAAATAATAAATATAAAAATTAAGTAAATTAAATAATATTTTAATTTTTAATCAAATGGGTTATTAAAATATATTAAATTAAATTATTTTCACTTTTTTAAACAAAATTGTTATATAACCATGAATCAACAATTAGTTTATATGAAATAAATATTTTTTACAATAAAAATAAAATTAAATATTATTTAAACAAAACTAAAAAAATATTTCTTACCTTTAATTTTATTATCACAAAATTTGAGTTTTTAAGACTTCCAATAATCTATATTATGGGTGACGGCTTGTCACTTGCAACAATCTTTTATTTGAAGTCATGAAGGTTGTGGTGTTATCAATGGAACATGGATTTATCTACAGTTAGTCAGTCTTGTACTGATTAATATAAAATAATTTTTATTAATCGTTGATATTTAATAAAATTCATCTCAATCATTTATTTAGTACATTCTTAAATACGAATATACTAAATAAAATAACTAAAATACATTTAATTAATTAATTGCACAAATCTCTCTCTTATTATCTTTCTCTATATATTTTCATATTTGCTTTTCAAAATCTTAAACGATATATATTTTTATACTCTTTCGCTATATACTCTTATATTTGTTTTTCCAAAATTTAATTTTCAATATAATGTTAATTGAAATAATTCAATTATTTAATATGGATATGAATAAAATGTATTTAAAATATTTAAAGTTTATATGTATTTATTAATATTTAAGATTTAATTACTTAAATTCAAAAGTACATAAAATCTAACATTTATATTTTTTTATCAATAATTACGAAAATTAATTGAAATAAGATAAAAGATACAAAATTAAATCAAATAATTTGGGGTGTTTTTATTTTATTTAAATATTTTTGTTATTTTACTCACTATTAAAGGATCTAATTAGAATAATTTAATTAAATTAAGAATAACTCTCCCAAAAAATCTAAAATTTTTTAGTATGGATATGAATAATAGATATTTACAGTTTATTTAAATATATTAATTTGTATATTATTCATATTTAATTACTTAAATTTAAAAGAATAGAAAAAATTAAATGCTAATGTAAATTTTTGTTTTATTTATTAGTAATTACTAAAACTGATTAAAATATGATACTTTTAGTCTACATTAAAAATTATCACATATAACTTTAATTTTTATTATTTAAGAATTTGATACTTAATTAATTTAGTTTAAAATTTAATTAATACTCATTTTTTATGTTTATCATTTCATATTTAATACTATCCCACATATTTAATTTTAAATATAAATTATGTATATTTTTAAATTATTAAATAATGTAAATTTTAAAATTATTACACTAAACTTTTAAGATTTATAAGAGCATTCCAAATTTTTAAGATTCAAAATTTTAAAATTCATAAATGTAATTTGATTGAAAAGAACTATAATCCAAAATAAATGAGTATAATAGTATCTTAATTTATCCAAGTCATTGGAGATCCAAGTCCAAATAGAAATATTAATTAAATGTAAATATATGCTACTACATCATTAAATATTAATCATATAATTTTTTATTTTGATTTATTATATAGTTATTATATATATTATAATTATATACTATGTTATAAAATATTATTTTCATATACAATATCCAAAACCTTAATTATAAATATATGCCAGTATATAATTAAATATTACTTATGTAATTTTTGATTTTTATTTAGTATATAGTTATTATATATTATAATTTTATACTACAATATAAAACATTATTTTCTTATGCAATATTGGAGACCTTAATTATAAATATATGCCAGTATGTAACTAAAAATTAATTATATAGTTATCATATATTATAATTACATTCTAATATATTAATTATTATTTTTATATGTAATATTATTTTTATCTTTTTATATAAAAATATGGTTTTTATTATAAAATATTATTGTTATACGTAACTACATAAAATATTATTAAATATTATTTTAAGTTTTAGTTTATTTAATTAAAAATATATAATATAAGTGAAACCTATACTCTACAAACAATAGTAGATCTAATATATAAATATAGAGAAGTAATAATATAAAAGTCAAATTATAAAATATTAAAGTTAATATATTGTAATTATATATTGTATTTTATTTTTGTACCCCCTATTTCAAATTGCAAAATAAAAATTTGTTTCTTTCAAATACAGATGATCAATTACATAAGGAGATAAACAATGTATTAGTTACTATTTTGGTATAAATATTTTTTTTTTGATCTTTATAAATTTATTGTCATTTTAAATAATCTCCCAATATTATTATTATTTTATTTTAAACTGTTAATTTGTTTTCCAATTTTGAATTTGTTTTCATCTTATTTACAAATTTCAAAATTTTTCATATAAGTCACTTAATGTTCATATATATATATATATATACATGCGAGAGCTAAATTTTTTTCTTAGATGGGCAAAATTTTATTTTATACAATAATATATCATAAAATAAAAAATTTTTAGATAGGGGGGAGCCTGCTCTTAAGAACATAGAATTCCATCAATACCCATAAATCAGTAAATTTTTCTAAAATAAATATTAATGCATAATTTTACTTTTTATTTTTATATTATGTAATTTTTGTTTATTTCATCTTTTAAAATTTTCTCATGGTAAAATTTTATATTTTAATCTAAGTTTCAAATTTCCTTTATTAGAAAAAAAATTATTTTTTCTAGTATGGAGTATAATAAATATTTATCTACTTTAACACAAATTGCAGATATCAAATAGGTAAGATTATATTAAACAAATCTTGCAAGTTTTTTTTTCTCCCAATGAAATGATGAACAATTGTTAAAATTTAATAATTTTAACTGCTTACATACTAGGTTTTTCAATATAAACTACATATTTTGTCACGACCCGGTTGTCGAGTCCGTGATCGGCGCTAGGGTCAGAATGGATCCCAACCCTGCAAGCCTTCCGGATATTAAATTTGGTATGGCAAATCAAAATTTCTGAATAAAAATCTGAAATACAAACCAAACATCAAACCATGTCTTTACAACTGAAAACCTGTCTGTGATCTCAGAGCTAAACAACTAGAATAACAAAACCATACAACTGAAAGAAACAGAAACTAACTGCTAATCTCGAGAACCGAAGTAGAAAATAGGATCGATCGACTCCTCTCACAATGCGGGATTTGTCGGCAGAGTCGAACCTGAGTCTGGAAAAATGAAATAATGAGTATATTGACCCAGTGAATAATAGTACATATTTATATGATGAGTGACATAAATCAGGTATTTTAGCATAAAAATATAGTTTTCACAATTTTACAAGTTAGGGAGTTCGACACCGAGAATTGAACAGAAATAGGACGACAACTCATGGTATGCTGATATACAGATATCAGGACGGCGACTCAAAGTCTGCGGTAATCAATAAACAGACCTACCACGTCAGTCACACGGGATAGTCTAGCACCACCCCTGCTAGCTGGGATACAGGTCAGAATGCATCCAGTCTAACGCCTACTGTCGTTGGCTACAGTGTTCTAACAGTACGATACTCCCTTAAAATTATTTATCAGAGTTTATCAGAGGAAGTTTCAAATTTTCAAAGTCTTAAACATGTACCAGTACTTGAAATCAGAAATTCAGAAGTTTTTCTAACAATTTAGAAAATGACATATACGTCCCTCGTAACTTTTCTAACAATTTAAGTTCCACTGGATTATAACTGAAATAATTTTCAAATTATGTAA